ATATATATATATATATATATATACAGAATAACAATTATTTACATAGCATTTACATTGTGTTAGATATTATAAATAATCTAGAGATGATTTAAAGCATAGATGAGTATGCATAGGTTATGTGTAAATACTACATTAAGGGATCTGAATATCCATGGATTTTGGTATCCTCTGGGGGAGGGTCCTACTACCAATCCCTCATGAAAACTGAAGGACAACTGTGTACAGGATAGCATAGTGTTTGCTAACTGTTAGAACTGGATAACAGGGTCTTGAGCATTTGTTTACATTTGAAAATACCCATAGTAAAAAGAAAAGCAAGAGACATTACAAAAATTTAGGATGTATAGAAAGGCATAAAGAAGAAAAAATCTTACCTCTTAAGATGACATTTGGTGAGTAAACCTGGTCTCTTTTTTGCCTCCATATGGGTAGGAGTATGCATACCCATATATTCACACATACACACATATGCATACTCTTCCAGTTACCTATAGCTGTGTAAAAAATCATCCCACACTCAGTGGTATAAAACAGCAACCACTCTATTATGCTTTAGAATTCTGTTGCTCAAAAACCGGGGATGGCTTATTTCTGCTTCTTGGTTACTGGGGCCTCAGCTGGGAAGATTCTAATGGCAGGGAGTTGGAATCACCTGGAAAAAAAATTTTTTTTTTAAATGTAACTTATAGATTCCGGACTGGAATCACTGAAAGACTAGGCTCAACTGAGAGTGTTAACCAGAGGGCCTATATATACAGCCACTTTGTGAGGCTTGGGCTTCCTTACAGCATGGTGGCCTGGGGTGGTCAGACACCAGGGCTTCAAAAGTGAGTGTTCCAGTGAATGAGACGAAAGCTGTATGGCCCATTCTGAAGCCTCAGAAGTCATGTAGTGATACTTTATCCATACTGTATTGGTGAAAGCCATCACTATCCTACCCAGACTCAAAGAGAGAAGATATAGATCACTTCTCAATGAAAGAGGATCAGAGAATTTGCAGCCTTGATTTTTAAACCTCTACACAGGCGTTGCCTGAGACTCAGTAGGTAAGGGCACCGGCCCCATATACTGAAAATGGCGGGTTCAAACCCGGCCCTGGCCAAATTGCAACAAAAAAATAGCTGGGCATTGTGGTGGGCACTTGTAGTCCCAGCTACTCAGGAGGCTGAGGCAAAAGAATCACCTAAGCCCAGGAGTTGGAGATTGCTGTGAAATGTGTGATGCCACAGCACTCTACCGAGGGTGACAAAGTAAGACTCTGCCTCTACAAAAAAAAAAAAACTTCCACACATATGTATGTGTTCCTCCCCCCCAAGTTTTGGATCATGGAAACATATACAGTATATTTTTATGTCCACTGACTGACTTCCTTCTGCTATGGCAGTAAAAGCATAGACTTTTATGATTACATAAAAGTTAAAGAATCTGTACTGTAAACACTACAAACAAAATCAAATAATATAGGGTGGGAAAAATATTTCTAACACACGTGACAATCAACTAACATTTTTTGAAGTTCAGAGAGCCTGTACATACCACTGAGTTAAATGCTGACATATAGTAAAACAGGCAATGGTATGAACACTTAAGCCATGAGGGGGATATTATCAGTAGAACTTCTATAAGTTGACCACCCAAGGGACTATAACAAACTGGTTAGCATATGGAAGTGGTCAAGAAAAGGAACTAGGCCTGCTGTACTGATAACATATATGTGGTATATGTCTTATGTGTGAAAATTAGGTCAACTTAATGAGATGGTCAATATAGGGAGGTGGTCAGCTATGGAAGTTCTACTGTATATATGCATTCGTATGTGTGATGAGATGCTTAACCCATGTTTAATTTAAAAAGTGAAAAATTTTCAGTCATTGTATTTCATTTTTTACCTAGCATATTGGCAAAGGTAGAGAAAATAATGATTTTCATGTTTTCCTCAATTTTTTTTGTATAGGGAACAATCCACCCTCAAGAGTGTGACCCTGAAAAGTCATATTAAAAAAATATGCAAAAGCCATTCATTGTTTTACTCTAGCTGCTACAGGCCAGAGCAGATGGTCACTTCCAGCAGAGAGCCTTGCCTGCTGCCTTCCACACTTGGAACAGACTCTGGCGATGGAGCCAGCAGGAAAGTGTCCTCAATGCAAGTGCAGCACGGTTTCACAGGTATGCTGTGCAGCTCCTGTCTGCACCGGGGCAGGTGTCTCATGTCTAACATCTGCTTTGCTTTTCAGCTTCCTGGCCACCCAGACCTTGGTTCTTCAGTTTTCAATAATGTAGGCTCATTCATTTTCATCTTGCAGGAAAAGACAGCAAGTATTTCCTTTTTTTTTTTTTTTTTGAGACAGAGCCTCAAGCTGTCCCCCTGGGTAGAGTGCCAAGGCATTACAGCTCACAGCAACCTCCAACTCCTGGGCTCAAGCGAGTCTCCTGCCTCCGCCTCCCAAGTAGCTGGGACCACAGGCGCCCGCCACAACGCCTGGCTGTTTTTTGGTTGCAGCCATCATTGTTGTTTGGCGGGTCTGGGCTGGGGATTCGAACCCGCCACCTTAGGTGTACGTGGCTGGCGCCTTAGCCGGTTGAGCTATAGGCGCCAAGCCGACAGCCAGTATTTCCACTGGGAAAACTTTGTCCATCTTTATTGTAAATGCTTTCAAAACAGCCTGTTTGCAGCCTTCATGACAAGCCTCTGAGAGGTCCATTAAGCTGCCCATTAGCTTTCTGGATCAGAGTGTGGTGGGATCTTATATCACCTTGGCAGGCATTCTTGAGCGTGATTTCCCTGAAACACTTAGTTCCTGTTGTGCTAGACCTGGCATTTTGAAGTCTTGAAATTAGTCATCAACAAAATGCGAAAGGTAAAGGAGCGGAGCCACATCTTTTTAGTTCCCATGGGGACAAACTTGCCTAAAGCAAGTCCTTACTATGTATTAGAACATAATGGAGAAATTACTAATGACTGTGTGTCTGCCACTGTGGTGGTCATTGTGTGATGGAGGAAAGAGAACAAATACGTAAACTTCTTATGCCTATGGCATCATTATTCTCATGAATAATTTCCTTCTCATAGCAGATCTGAGAGAACAGGTTCAAATGATAAATGGCTTGATCAAAGATAGTAAGTAGCAGAGCCAGAGGTTTTTTTTTTTTTTGAGGCAGTGTCTCACTTTGTCATCCTCGGTAGAGTGCTGTGGCATCATGGCTCACAGCAACCTCAAACTTGCGGGCTCAAGTGATCCTCTTGCCTCAGCCTCTTGAGTAGCTGGGACTACAGGTGCCCACCACAATACCTGGCTATTTTTAGAGACAGGGTCTCCATCTGGCTCAGGCTGGTATCAGACTGTGAGCTCAAGCAATCCACCTGCCTTGGCCTCCCAAGTGCTAGGATTACAGGTGTGAGCTACTTTTTGTTTTATTTTTGACAGAGTCTCAAGCTGTTGCCCTGGATAGAGTGCCCTGGCATCATAGTTCACAGCAATCCCCAACTCATGGGCTCAAGCAATCCTCTTGCCTCAGTTTTTCTTTTTCTTTCTTTCTTTCTTTCTTTTTTTTTTTTTTTTTTGAGATAGAGTCTCACTTTGTTGCCCTGGGTAGAGTGCCATGGAGTCATAGCTCACAACAACCTCAAACTCTTGAGCTAAAGTGATTCTCTTGCTTTAGCTAGGACTATAGATGCCCACCACAATGCTCTCTATTTTGTAGAGAGACTGATTCTTGCTCTAGCTCAGGCTGGTCTTAAATCCCTGACCTCAGGTAATCTACCGGCCTTGGCATCCCAGAGTGCTGGGATTACAGGCATGAACCACCATGCCCGACCTCAGTTTTTCTATTTTAGTAAACATGGAGGTCTCGATTTTGCTCAAGCTGGTCTCGAACTTGTGAGCTCAATCTACCTATGTCAGCTTCCCAGAGTGTTAGGATTACAGCTGTGAGTCACCGAGTCCGGCCTCAGAGTCAGGATTTAAATTCACATCTCCAATTCCAAAGTCCAGGTGCTCTCTTCTTGATCAAGAGGAAGATCTTGTTGATGGCTTTGTAGGAAGTCGAAATTTTTGTGAGGAGCTAAGACTAATGAACAAGGAACAAATGAAAAATGATTCAAAGGGTTAGATCCAGGTGTCCTCAATTCTGTCAACCACAAGTTCTTCCAGAGCTCAGTCCTAGTGCTGAGAGTGGCTGGGAACATTGAAGTATCTCCAGAGGCTTCCTGTAAGCTTTTGAGGGGGCCACTATAGGGGATTGAGCTGATCCTATAGGTAGATAATTAATTAATTAATGGATATTTGAGCAGGTATGTGGAACTAGTAAAGTGCCAGTTTTGGCCATGACCCTGGGTATAGTGTGCATCAACTCAGGACAGATTGCTGACTGGGAGGGCGTGCACTGCAGGAAGCTGCAATGGTCTCAGATCGAGAGGATTCAGACAATTCGGCTGGGCACCTGTGGCTCAAGTGGCTAAGGCGCCAGCCACATACAGCTAAGGTGGCGGGTTTGAATCCAGCCCAGGCCCACCAAACAACAATGGCTGCAACCAAAAAATAGCCAGGCGTTGTGGCGGGCTCCTGTGGTCCCAGCTACTTGGGAGGCTGAGGCAGGAGACTCACTTGAGCCCAGGAGTGGAGGTTGCTGTGAGCTGTGATAGCACAGCACTGTACCCAGGGGAACAGCTTCAGGCTCTGTCTCCAAACAGACAAAAAAAGATTGAGACAATTCCAAATGCTAGTTTGAGAAGATGAGCCAGAACACCACACTCCATAGCGCAAAGTCCAGTGGATAATTTTTGGCAGTGGCCGCAGGGAATGGAGGTTGACAGGAGAACAGCTCTTGCCTCTTCCTGCTTCTCCTGCAAACAGTCCAGCTTTGCCTGCTGTACTATAGTCTAGTATAGGATTGATTTGAAAAATGGTTTTAGTATTTAAAACTCATACGCCCCTTTGTTTTCTTTCTTTCTTTTTTTTTTGTAGAGACAGAGTCTCACTTTGTTGCCTTTGGTAGAGTGTCGTGGCGTCACACAGGTCACAGCAACCTCTAACTCCTGGGCTTAAGCGATTCTCTTGCCTCAGCCTCCTGAGTAGCTGAGACTACTACAGGTGCCCGCCACAACGCCCAGCTATTTTTTGGTTGCAGTTTGGGTGGGGCCGAGTTTGAACCTGCCACCCTTAGTATATGAGGCCGGCGCCCTACTCACTGAGCCACAGGCGCCACCCAATCCCCTTTGTTTTCTTTACTTACAAGTAGTCATGCTTGGATCTATTTTATTTTTGGATTTTGCATGCTGTGGGGACCACATATTGAGAGTACCTTCAAAGTAGCCAAGAGGAGCCTATGAAAGGATTTTTGCTAGAGAGCAGGCTTGGGTGATTTTAGAGCTAACATTCTGAAAACAAAAGAGTAGAGGGCAAATTGGAGATAAGGAGTAGCTTGATCTAGATTTTGTCATATTTCCATTTGAATAGATCTTTTAAGAATACTTAGTTCCTGGGTGGCGTGTATGTCTCAGTGAGTAGGGCGCTGGCCCCATATACTGAGGGTGGTGGGTTCAAACCCAGCCCCAGGCAAACTGCAACAAAAAAATAGCCGGGCATTGTGGCAGGCGCCTATAGTCCCACCTACTCAGGAGGCTGAGGCAAGAGAATTGCCTAAGCCCAAGAGCTGGAGGTTGCTGTGAGATATGATGCCGTAGCACTCTACCGAGGATGCAAAGTGACACTCTATCTCTAAAAAAAAAAAAAAAGAATACTTAGTTCCTGTCTGCCTTGTTCATGAAAAGAGTGATTTAGAGTCTGGCTCAGACGCCGGATGGGCCTGAGGTCAGATCTGTGCTCTGCCACCGGCCAGCTCTGTGACTCTGAGCAAATCAGTTTCTCTCAGCCTCAATCTCTTTGAATATAAAGTGAGATGATTTGATAATGGGCCTATTTGGAGGGTTGTCATGAAAACTAAATGGGTAATAATGTGTAAAGTACAAGCAGAGTACCTGGCATGAATTATTAACTATCTCTCTAGACCCTGGAATTGATTTATGACTCTTATGGTAAGAAAATACTTATAGATTGGTTTGGAGTTAGCAAGTTAAAGTTCCAAATAAGTATGTATTTCTATACTCATAGGGTTTTTGTTTTTTGTTTTGTTTTGTTTTGTTTTTGAGACAGAGGCTCACTGTATTGCCCTGGATAGAGTGCCATAGGGTCATCATAGCTCACAGCAATCTCAAACTCTTGGGCGCAGGAGATCCTCTTGCCTCAGCCTCCTGAGTAGATGGGACTCTGGGTGCCCACCACGGTGCCTGGCTAATTTTTCTGTTTTTAGTAGAAATAGAATCTTGCTCTTTCTCAGGCTGGTCTCAAACTACTGAGCTAAAGCAATCCACCCACCTCAGCCTCCTAGAGTGCTAGGATTACGGGCATGAGCCACCGTGGCTGGCCAACTCTTAGAGTACTCTTTAATGTCTTGGAAATACAGATAGAATTTATGGTGGAATCTCATTAATTGTGGCTAAAAATTATAATTTGTTACCCCTCTAGTAAAACATACTGAGACTAAGACAAAACTAGTTTATCTTTTGAGATAAAGTTTACATATAGTGAAAAGCACAGGCATTAAGTAAATAGTTTGACAAGTTTACATAAATTATACACCTGGATAATCCCCCCTCTGGTCAGGATACAGAACATTTCCCTCACCCCAGAAAATTCTCTTATGCCTCTTCCAGTCAGTCTTATCCCTTATAGGCACCCACTGTTCTGATCTCAGTCATCCTAGGTTAGGTTTGCATATTTTTGAACTTCATATAATGGGATCATAGAGTATTTATTATGTCTGGCTTTTTTTAGGACCAGGGTCTCGCTCTGTTGCCCAGGCTGGAATACAGTGGTATAATCATAGCTTACTGAAGCTTCAAACTCTTGGGCTTAAACAATCCTCCTGCCTTAGTCTCCCAGTGGCTAGGAGGCACGCACTACCAAACCTGGCTAATTTTTAAAAATATTTCTAGATATGGAGTTTCGCTCTATTACCTAGGCTGATCTTGAACTCCTGGGCTCAAGTGCTCCTCCCCACTCAGCCTCTCAAGAGCCTGAGATTATAGGACTGAGCCACCACATCCAGCCTCATATCTGACGTTTAAATTTCAACATCATGTTTTTGAGATCGAGCCATGTTGTTCT